AAACTACTGTCGTCCTCAAATTCTGCTTCAATTTTTCTCCTGTTGGGTACGCCTTATCTATATTATGGGCCAAGCCACTTGTTAACGACGTTTCTATTTTCAGCCTATCTATTCCCGTCAGCAATTCTCTTGATTTTAATTACATCACTGATTTTTTCCATTACCCTATAAGGTCCTGTATATAACGGCTGCACCTTCTTACTCAACCCCACCTTAGGAGTAGCTTTAAGATATACCCGGCCTCCTTCCACGATTTGTGAAGGCTTAGAATGGGGTCGATCCCTTGGCCCTATCTGGATATCATCTTCAATTCATTCTTTGCATCTTTTATAAATATTTGAGCCTATGACTCTCGTCTCTTGCAAATATTCTTCCACATTATACCAAGGAGCTGTGTCCTTTGAAAATAGTATATATAAAAAATGAGGATCCTGATGCTTTAGCATGAAAAAAGGTATGCCTTTTATCACCTTATGGTAAGCAGTATTATAAGCTAACTCTGCCATAGGTAACATTCGAGCCCACACTGACGGGTTGCCCCAGACCATCGTACGCAACATCTTATTTAGTGTACCATTTACTCTTTCCATTTGTCCATTTAAGCTTGGATGATATGGAGTTATAATACGTTTGTCAATCCCAAACTCTTCTGTGAGAGTTTTAAATAGTTTGTTTACGAATTCCCCACCCCCATCAGAAATGATTTGACGGGGAGTCCCCTTTTTGTAAATGAATCCATTCGTAAATGCATCTACTACTGTAATAATATAACGAAAACTTTCAGATTCCAGATACAGACCCACTGTATCCCTATGGACACGCTCAAAAGGCCTTGAAACTTCAGGATATCTTAAGAGAGGAAATGGGATACGTTTGCCTGGCTTACAGCACAAGCATGTGTCACAAGGCAAACAATATTCCTTTAATAATTTCTTCATATTTCAAAAAATGCAAATAATTCCAATCTCTTTAAGGTTACCAAGAGACCCCCATGCCCTGCAGCGGTAATCGAATGACCTAACCTTAAAGCTGTACTCTGATACAATTCTGGTACCACCACACGAAAACAAATCTAAAAGGCTTACCTAAAACATTACATAATATCCCATCCATCATATTGTACCTAATAATTTTCGGTTCTCCCGGGAATCCCTTTAAACTCATCCTTAGTGAGTTCACCTTCACCTCGTAAATAAATTTTACACGACCACAAAGTGGGTTTTTATATTGTGCATTTCGTAAACTATCTAGTACCCAAATGTCTATGGTTTCAGGTGGACTACTGTCACTGCCACCTCCATTTCTGACCTCGGACTATCGAGCCGATTTATCTCTTTATTAGATTTAATAGCTGGGCGAGTAACCACCCCAACAACTAAATTGTCTATCGGCTGATCAGCTGCTCTTATCCGTGATGGCGCATCTGCTAAAAACGAAGAGGCCTATGGTCTGAATGAACTACAACTGGAAAACCCTGAATCAATGTTCTGTTAATCTTTAGCTCATATACTATCGCTAATGTCTTACTTGCATCTGTAATTAACACAAATGGACAGGAAAAATCAGGGAATTTTAACACTTTATCCTCATACAATACTTGTACAAAATTTGTGAAATGCATCCATTTCGTTTTCTTTAGTTTTACAACCTCTGGTTAGGTCAATTAACGGTCGCGATATATCTGCAAAATGTGAAGTATTTTGTTCAACTTGCCCTCATAGTATTGGAACAAGGACGAGGCTACCATCTCGCCATGCAAAATGATGATGTACTCATATAAATATTAGAATTATATCAGAATTATTTTCATCCTGTATTTGAAGAATATATCATATGGCTCTTATGCTATTATGTGACACAAACAACATACAAAGTGCAACATATAAAGATTTATGTTGCACCGTTTCCGAATGTCTGTACCGCCTCCTAGCTTCCGCCATAGTTTTACCATAATTACCATATTAGTAATTCTCATCGCAATATATACTTGGGATCTTTCTGAACCTCTGGCGTACCTCCACCTCCGGCGCCATGGCCTTAGCTGATGGAAGCCAGGCTTCCATGATGAAAAAGTTGGGGGTTTCCAATGGCGTTATGTTTGACCGAACCAGGATATCGATGGCAGAGAAATCCATACCGACTTTCTCGACGAGGTCATGAAGTCACGTGGAAAAGGGCCTAATGCCACCATTTCCGTTATGATGGCTCAATTCTCGAGCCACCTTTGCGGCATATATCGGCGCCTGCTGGCTGCGTTTGAATCGGAGAGGAGGTACTCCTGACTCCATGAGTGCATTTCAGGGCTCCAAGACACATTCGCATACACAAGCATTCTGCACAGTATCCATACCTTTTAAAATGAAGAACTGACCCATAACCTACTTAATTATGGCTTTATATATTATTAGTAAAGACTTTCTATCAGTTCCCCATCTATTACCAGCAATACACTTTAGTAAATTTAGCGCTCTCTGACATTTATTCTTTAATTGACCAATGTCGTCTCTCTAGTTAAGTCTATGATCAAAGAGTAGACCATGTTCGGCTTCCTCCTATGAAGAAAAATTACCCCAATATTCTTCCTTGTGTAAAACTTAAAACCTCACTGGAGGCCTCAGTTATGAATCCTATCCATTGCCAGTTGGATACGATTTGCCGAGAATTCTGCATTACTGCTGGAATGTCATTATGCACAATCATAAGCATACAGTGAGTATTTAAGATTCCCCCTCGGAAGATGTCATTGATCATACATAGTAGCAATGTTGGCGACAGGACATTTCCTTGTGGGACCCTGTTTGGTTGGACAAAAATGTCCGAAAACGTGACATTGTCAGAAAAAAGTTTGACAGAGAAAGTTCTGTCAGAAATGAAATTTTGAATAATACATGACAAGTTTCCATGTAATCCAAAATTATAAAGATTTTTGAGTAGGCCATATCGCCATGCCATGTCGTAGACTTTCTCTGTATCTATAGATACTGAGATCATTTTTTTTTTTTTTTTTGGCAATTGCCTCTTGAATATGACTTTCCAGTTTTACTAGCTGATCTAGAGTTTGGTATCCTTTACAGAAGCCGCAATGCTCGTCAACTAGTAAATTACTGGAACTTAAAAAATGCAAAAGTTAATAATTCGTTCCATGATCCTGCACAAGCAATTTCGGTGGTAGGAGATGGCGGATCTGGGATTTCCAACTTCTAGCAACTTAATCATGGCATCGTGATAAAGATGCTTTATCAGCTCATATCGAAGCTGAGAATGTTCCTCTACAGGCTTCTAGGGCTTGGACAAGCTCATCCATTGTTAGATCTTTATTGTTATTCCTTGGTGGTCAGGAATATGGGATGGTATTTGCCTGAGCTGCATGTGTATGAGAACTGCCTGGCGAGTGCATTAGCAATGTTTAGGTGAATCGAAATTGGTTCCTTATGAATGATATTTTTAATTTTGGAAGATGATTTTTTTCTTATTTCTTTTATTGACATTGTATAGACAAAGCTCTGCCAAGTGTCTCTTCTTGTTTGTCTTATTATTCAACGAGCGCTAGCTCTTGCTCGTTTGTAATGCATAAATTCTCATTAGTAATGTTATTTTTGAAAAGCCTGTAGGCTTTATTGCGTCGGCATATCGCCCTGCGGCAATCTGGTGTCCACCATGGAACTCTATGCTTAACGCTATCTGTCGAAGTTTTAGGAGTGGGTATCATCGTTGCATCTAAAATCAAATTCTGAATATTACTTTTATCAGTGGTTTCTCTGACAAGTTCAAGCTTGACGCTCCTTGTGAAGCCGACCCAGTCTGCTCTTTTTAGATTAAATTTAGGTGCTGAAGGCGTTCTTATTGTGTCACATAAATATTCAATAAAAATAGGAGGAGGATTGCTTCCCAACGAGTCGTCAATGGTGTGGCACAGGCACTAGGCTGCTATTGTTGAAGAGACCAGTGATAGGTCAATAAAACACAAATTGCCGGAATTATCGTCCACCTGCGTCGGACTACCATCGTCCAGAAGGACCAGATCAGACTCATTAATCAACTTAAGAACTTGCTCACCTCTACCATCCATCCACAGGGAACCCCATAACGTATGTTGAGCATTAACATCACCTAAAATTAATTTATTTTGTGGCAGATATCCTGAAGAGCAAAGAGCTCATCATACATTTTCACATCAGGTGGACAATAAACTGAACATATAGTCAGATACATGCCATTGATTTTTACTTTGCATGTGACAAACTCCAAAGTAGGATCAATAGTCACTTCAGAAAGAGGGAGGTTTTGGTGGATGTATATGGCGACTCCGTTTCCACCCCTACCCTGACGGTCCTTCCGACAAATGGTAATTCCTCAGGGAAACGACCTCGTCAGAGCTGAGGTCTGTTAGCGTTCTAATATCGGGAACATAGGACTAGGCTAATAACTTAAGGTCATTTAGTCTAGTTCTCAGACTTCGACAGTTCCACTGATAATGGTCGATGCGAAGATTACATTTTATGGAATTTGGAAGTGCCTTGTCCGCCAGTTTTTTTTATTTTCTTTTTATGGGAGAAAGGCGTCTCCTCTCCCTCGCTTCCCAGGGACCTCCCTCGGGATGGTTTGGAGACAGAAGCCTCCATGTCCTACATCTCCTGGCGAGGGAGATGACTGACAGGTTGCGACCTGCTTCTTTCTCGAGAAACCGATCGAGATCCAGGCGAAGTCTTCACAGGAGTCGCCTAGATGGGGAGGTGCGATCCAGACTGTGGTTCGGTATCAGCCACCTTAGGATGTTTATGCTGAGTTGGTGCAGCCCTTTGATCGACCAATTTAGTCAACTGATATACTTTAACCCTAGAGCACTAAACTGGGTCCATATGGACCCACCAAATTGCGCGTCAAATTTTCCGGTCCTTCTCCATCTTATCCACAATGCATTTCTTGTTTAGACGGCAATTTTCTCATCACTTGGATCTCAGCGGTCGTGGCTAGCGGAAGGTACGTGACAGTTTTAGCATTTTTAGTGATTTATAGGTAGTGCTTGGTCCACATGGACCCATGGTTATAAGTAGTGTTCCATATCGACTTTGCACATGCACTACGTATTGAGCATTTTTTTGTGTGTGATGTACGAAATATTGTAATGTGTGGTGTTGTATAATGCTGCCGATAGTTGAACCATCTTGTTATATTGTGAAACTCGCATTTCGCTCTATATTTAGTTCATTTTCACTCGTTTTCCTTGGATAGATATGTTGAACACCTGTCACGTGGTAACCAGGTGATGTGACAGAAGCAGGGGAGCAGTGCTGTTGACCAGGAGCCAGTGCTACACCTCCTGGGATCGGAGAGTGCTTGTTGAATGATTGGAGGTAAGCATGTAACAATACAGGCCTGTTGGCAATACATTTGCAATGATGGGTCCAACTGGACCCATGAGTATTACATATAGGCTAAGCACGTAATAGTATTTTTTGTGTGTGATGTAAGAAGTATTGTGACGTGTGACATTGTGACATATATCAGTGTGATGACTGCAGATTTTAAAAGGTAACTTTCCATAATGCCACCACAGGAAAGGTAATACTGTATATACCATTACATTTTGTGGCAGAAATACATTATGTGTATATTTTATATTCTAAAAATTGCATATTTTCATTTATACAGATCACACCCAATAAAGGACCATGGTGGGCTGCTTTTGGCAAGTATAGCTTCAGCAACTCTTCAGCTAAACGGAATTAGCAGTTACTAAGCTGAAAATGATTTATTTTATTTTTTGCATAATATATTTTGAAACTATATGAAATTTCGGAAATTTTATTTTTCTAATTTTGCTACAATAAAAATATGGCATATTTTTCTTTACACTTTGTTTCATTCTCTTCCTGAATCCCTATTCTTAACATTAAAAATCACCAAGTATTCAAAAAGCAGATAGAAATATTTTATTTAATTTTTTTTTTGATGGGGTCCATGTGGACCCAGGTTATTGTTATCGATCATAAAAAAAAAGGTTAGTGTTCTAGGGTTAATGTTTAATTCTTTAACAGTTTGTTTGAGTTCAGCAATTTCTTTATCTTTAGCTGCAAGCTGTCGACTGACATTACTTGTACTAGAGGTGATATTAGTTACTGCTGCAACATAGTACATATTGGGTTTGTGTCAAACTTTCCACTTTCCTCTTAGCTTCAGTATAACAAAGTTCAGGTTTTCTCATATATGTTAATGACTCAGTCTCCTTCAGGCTGCTGCACTCAGTAGAGCCTGACTGATGGGGACCTCCATAGTTAGCAAATTTGGAAATCTGACTAGTACATGTGATGGTGTCATGGGCTTCAGCACATTTACGGCAAACAAACTTATTTGAGTCTTTATCAATATATCTTAATGAGGTGTGTCCGATTTTTTGGCATCTTTTACAATTTATTGGGTTTTATATACGTTCGTATCCGATATTGACATATTCAGGGATTTTATTTAAAGCAAAGGTAAAATAACACAGTCCAGTTTTCGTTCGCACATTCCCATCCTTCTTGGTTATATAATGAACGTCCACTACGTCTTGGTCCTTCATGCTCTCGAGAATTTTCTTCCATCGCCCTTAAATCCCTGTGAAAGATTACTTCTTTACAGGTATTTGGGCCAATCGGAGTAGTTACTATAATTCTGAGATCATGAATTTGCGTCAGCTTCAGTAAATCCTTAATCTGGGAGTTATATTGTACTTTAACAAGGAGGCTTCCATCTCGCAATTTTTTGACAAAATCAAAATCACCGTCCACTTGACCATCAAGGACCTTTTTGATGATAACATTCGCGAACTTTGCAGTCTCGGCATTTTGAAGAGAGGTCTTTTAGGTTTATCATAAGTAAGGGTTCTATTGGTCAGAGAGTGGTCATGAGTCGCCCCTCCTCCTTGAAGAGAAGGGGTAGCTGGGGTAGCATCCATCCTGGGTATCGGAGCAGGTCCGACCCCTAGGCCCGAAGCCGTAGTCTTGAAGGGATTAAAAACTCTTATCAACCTATCAGCAATGGATATGAGAGTAAGGCAGTTTTCCGTTCTTTACCCCCAGTGGAAGCCTGGTTGCGTTCTCCATTACCAAAGGGGGATCGAGTTATGTGGAGGACACCTATTTACCGCCGAACTTGCCTAGGCGAAGGAAAGTAATTCGATGCCCACCCCCCCAAGCGAGTACGGGAGTTCACAAGGAACTCCGGTAGGCTCACGAAAGTCACATGAAAAGAGGAAAAAAATTCAGAATAAAAGAAAAAGAGCTCCCAAAGGACGCCTCAGACTACTGGACCACCCTACCCAGGGGTCAAAGCCCACAAGAGCTACCCTGGTGTAGTAGAGAACTGCGGGTTTGAGGTGGAGTGCTGACTACACCTTCTGTAGTCTCGTGTTACCTGCAAAATTAAGAACACTGAAGGTGCAGGCAAAGCACTTGTGCAAAAGGATCTGTAAAAACAGTTTTTACTTTACTTGAGCGTACTTTAGAAAACTCAGAAGCAACAATGTCAAGCAGTGTAGCTGGAATTTTTGATTTGTTGCAAAAGTAATATGAACAAAGTGTGAGCTTAGCAAAATCACAAACACAAGTCCTGAAGGTGGGGGACAGTATCGATACCAAATGTATAAAAAAAAAAAAAAAAATCCCGCTAATTCAAGGAATGGGGAAATCAGACTCCTTGCCGGCTGAGCACATGTAGAGCCATCTGTATGTAACAACATTCACAAAAAAAACTACAAGAACAGAACATAAGTCCGGGGCGGTTGGGTTAAGCTTACTTCGTCTTGCCGACTTTGTCAAAAATAATCTCAACATTCAGCTTGCTATTAATGTAAACAAACTACCGCAATGTGATGACTCATTCCCCTTAATAGGGAGTGACAGAAGTAATCGCTGAAAACAGAATGAACGTTGTTAGTAATGATAGTGAATTTAGTGATGAGGAAATCTTTCCTCACCTTGATTTTGCAATAACTAAATAAAATAAAGTAAATGAGACTCAAAAATAATTTACATATTATGTAGAAAACGTTATATGTAACATTTTTTCGAAAGAAGAGGGAGAGAGTAGTCCACACACTTTGGAACAACAATTTAAAAGGAAAATATCTACTATTCATAGCAAAAATGTTTTTCAAACTGCGATTATAAAATGAAAATAGCGAAGTTAAATAAAAAGCACTTCGAACATCCCTGGGATGTCCGCATTACAGCTACAAGTAGCCAGTATCAATTTTCTAGAGAATAAAAAGCTTTTAATATAGCCTTCTTCAGATACATCTGTTCGGCACTGATATGATTATAACTTTTTAATATCATGAATCAACAAGAAGATTCAAGACTTTTCAAAGGTTAAACCAAATGAATACGATAGATGTCAAAGGCCATACAAAACTATGGTAAAGTATTGTGGCGAAAGGAGGAGAAATGTGTTAACGATTAGGATAAAGTAGGCTAGATGTCAAAGGATGTAGAACGCTGTAGGGTAGAAATTAGTGAGGCGAGGGTTGAGGTCCAATGTATGGTTGAGTCCCTACATTGAGCCTCAGTCTCAGTCTTCTAAGATCTCCAACGACAACAACGAGCAAGGGAGAATTTTTTAAAAATCTTTTAATATATTGCCATCAAAAATACGCCTTATCGGTGTACTGTTAATTTAAACGTTTATCTATAACATAAGCTTCGATGTATCCATGTTAATGCACCACAATCGTTAGATAAAAGTGCTTTATTATGAACGATGATTATGTTACAGATGTAAGTTTAAATTAACGAAATGCAATTTCGAGTAATTGGCCTATGTATGTAAATACATATATATTTAGGCCTATGCAATATATATGCGCATATCTATCTAGGTTTATTTGCTTCAGTGTGATTTCAAGTGTTATATCATCCAAAGGTGGGGAAATTTCTTTTCAAAGAAGTATATTAGCATCATTCAATTAGTGTGAAAACACCCAGGCAGGAGAGTTGAAAATAACAAATATGCAGTCCTGGCTCATATATCAATGGTAAAGGCGTTGATGATGTTGGTACCATGAACTTTCCCCGTCGATTAAATGTCTTGAGAGCGATTGTGAGTACGACAGTTATAAGGGACATCTGGCATTCCGACAATCTTTCCCGAAACATGGCTATAAATCGTAATCGTGCCAACCAGGGAAGGGGTTTGACCAAGCAGTTATAAACGCGGTTTGGGAGTGCGGGGCTCCGAGCACCCTGTCTTAGGGACAGGATTGGTTTAATAATACATTTTGATAATTATGATAGCACGGGAATGGAGAGTAAGCTTACTGACATCCACAACACCAGTGCTCCAGTTGGTCTAAATATGCACCTCAGAAAGACAAAGGTGACGTTCAGCGATCACGTCACAAAACCTGCAATCATCTTCCCTAACAAGAACATCGAAGAGGTAGATAGCTGCGTCTACCTAGACAGATAGATATCGCGAAGGGGAACATATTCCCAGAAATCAAGCGACGCATTGCAGTGGGATGGACAACCTTCGGCAAGGGAGATAACATCATGAGAAGCAGAAAGGCAAGTATGAACAACACCATAGATTGGAGCAGGCGACATCGTCACCACAGAAGACCAAAGACAAAGCGGAGACGCGACCTGAACAACCAACTCGGGCCCATCTGGACAAGGCTGGCCAAGGACTGTGATTGGTGAAAAACCAGGGAGGGCTTCTCAGTAAGAGTGCATATGAATGTGTGTATTGACGTAATACCATTTGTAATCATTTATTTTACTTCAATTCTATACTCCACCCTATCTATACACACACACACACATATAGATAGATAGATAGATATATACTCTATATATATATTTATGTTTATATATATATATATATATATATATATATATATATATATATATATATATATATATATATATATATATATATATATATACATACATATTATATGCATGCCTGTGTATGTGTTATATAACACACACACACATATATATATGTGTGTGTGTGTATATATACATATGTATACATATATACATATATATACATATATATATATATATATATATATATATATATATATATATATATATATATATATATATATATATATATATATGCATATATATACATATATACATATACATTATATATATATATATATATATATATATATATATATATATATATATATATATATATATATATACACACACACACATATACATACATGTGTGTCACACATTGCGAAGGATCAACACAGGGTAGCCCTTGTATGGTATCGCATACAAGGTTTGGCGAGCTGGTAGGTAACGCCTTGATTGGTCCATGTAGATATTTATACACATGTATTAGCTGACCACTGGAAAGTAAAATGAATTAATCGAAAGACTCGCCTAGTGATAAGTCAGCTTCTGAAACCAGGCAGCAACGAGGAAGGTATAAATAAAAAAAGAAAAAAGTGATGTTACACTGATCCCCGCCGAGTGCGCAGAGCAGACTGCCCAGTTGCTAAGCCCATTTTCACTCGGGTAAAGGAATACAATTCTCTCGGTAACAAGAAAGTTATTCTTTGAAAAATGATGTCAAAATATGAATTGCGCAGCTGAAAATTAAACCTCACTTCCTGGTCAAATTATTTTTTTTCTTCACTCTCTGTTTACAATTTGTTTTATAATTGGTTTATTATATTAATGTCTTAAAATTATTTATCCTTTTCTATCAATCCTTATCTACAGTTTCACTAGATCCACTTCCATGTGCCACCCTTTGCCTGGCCTTTTTTGTGTTAATCTGCTTCACGCATTTACTCCATATTTGCCGATATTGCAAGAGAGACATATGTATATATATATATATATATATAT